GAAACCAATAAACCAATCAACAAAATATTAAAAGCACTTTAAGATGAGTTATTAATTACATTCTTATAACAATCGAATGTCAATAAAGTAATTCTTTATAGTTGATTGACATGAACACATGAAAGATTCCTAAAATGTACAGTGACTTGCTCAAGCTTGCACAGCTAATAACTAAAGGGAATAAATATCTAAAGGTAAAATTTTCACTTGGGCAGAGGAACACTTCCTAACTTTATCAGATCTGGGATGTACTTCTGAATCCAAATATAAGGCAGCATGCATGCTGGGACCAGAAATGTTGAGTGAGGTCTGGCACCGGAGCCTTTGGTTGGATGGGGATCAAGCAAACAAGGTTGTTAGTGGGTCATGGTGATCCTGGAGCACTAGGCCAAGTGCCTGCCCTCATGTAGCAAGATACATCAAACACAGTGAGACACTAGCTTGTAAGCAGGCAGCAAGCTTACAGCACTCCCTGCCTCCTAGAGGGGAGAGCAAGTCAAGTCTCCAGTAACAACATACAAACCCACAGCATAAACAGTGTCTTCCTCTTTACACATGAGCGTAACAAAGAAGAGACTGGAGACTGTGACAGTCTAAAAACAGTACAATCAAGCCAGAATGCTATCAGGGAGGCAGTCTTTAAAGGCCTTCAAAGACCAGAGTATAATCCAAGAAATTACGACTATAATCTTCAAAGTATTGATACAAAAACATCCTGTGCCTTAATTTATCAATTTGTGTGCTGGCACTTTGTCCCACACCTCCATTGCTTACTTGTCTTTTCACAGCAGATGTGTAAAGCAGTTTCCTTGTTTGCCAATGAGGAACTGAAGTGCAAGCTAAGTGAGTTTCCTACTAAGTGATGGATGAGGTAAGTCTTGAACACTGATAGAAAACAAGCATTGCACACCAATGAATCATGCCGTACTTTAAAGAAAATATTTAAATAGAAGTAATGAACAAAATTGGCTCTTTGGGACTTCAGAAAGTACACAATGGACTGCCTTGTAATTTTCCTGGTTTTATCTG